ATCTTTATTTATCTCATTTAAACTATTTTTATTAAATAAAATCTTAAAATTTATTTATCACCTTCATTAATGGTTGCATTTTTATTTTATTTTTTGTTTATAAAAATTCAAAAACTTGTTATGGAAAAAAATAGAGTCAAAAAATTACATTTATGTTCTTAAAAAATTATGAAAAATAAATAATAATTTCATATATATTTGGTAAATTAAATTAAATTTATATATTTTTTCTTTAGAAAGTGTTTTAATTCGTTGTGAGTTTAAATTAGTATTAGAGTATGATTTCTCAGTCTTATCAATAAAATTATGAGTGTTAGATATACGGAAGAAATAAAATTAGATAATTTAAATAATAATACTTCTCTATAAATAATAATAGAACAAAATAAAGGTGAGAAATTAAAAAATAAAGTAAAAATTTAACCATTAATGAATGTGATAAATTAATTTTAAGATTTAATTTAATAAAAATAGTTTAAATGAGAAAAATAAAGATGAAGGAATATATTTTAAGTATCATATAACAAATTAATTGAGTATTTTAGTATTCTAAAATAATTTCTCCATTTAAGTAAAAATTAATTTTATTTTTAGGTGTAAGAAATGAGAAATTGTTTGAATTGTTTATTATTCTCAAATGATTTCTTGGCCTTTCATTCCCCATTAACTAATTTTAATTTATTGTATAGCGATTAATTTTTTTATACTTCTATATTTTTTTTTAATCATGTAAGAATAACCTGTGTTTTTTTTTTTTTTAAATATGCATCGACTAGAAATTTAATGACTCAAAGATAAAAATTAAAAAGTGTTAATAATATCTTAACAATTTAGGGATAAATAATTTTCTTACATATGAATAGATAAGTAGGACAAATTGCTGAGAAAAAATATTAATCCATTTGTTTCAACTTATAAAAAATAAATTTAAATAACTAACACATTAATTAAAATTGATAAATATTTCGTTATTTTTATAGTGTGAAATAAGTCTTATAAGTATTGTATTAATTATTAGGGTCTTATATTAAACTATTAGGGTGTTAAGTTGAAATATACATGGATCTTTAATAATATAATGCAAAACCTCAAGGGAGGTGAGTTGAAATTTTCATTAAAATAGCTTATTAGTTCAAAGGGGCAATAGTCATTTTGGACAGAAAAGTAACGGCATTTGTGCTAATTAACAGATTGGGAAAATCTTGATATTATCAGCAAAATTAGGGGGGGAGATCCCTGTATTTGTTAAAAATCTCAAAGGAGGTAAGTGTAATTTATCCAAAAAAACAATTAACCCTACCTATGGCCAAACCCTACCTATGGCCTCGTTTGGAAACTTGATTATTTTACTTGGCTTTTTAGTTATTTTATGAGATGAAAAAAATTGTGTTGAATGATTTGTGAATTTTTTTTTATAATCAAATAGATGGTGTGAGAGAAAAAATAATTAATTAATTTGTAAAATGTGGTATTTCGTTTTATTGGCTATTTTAACATTTTTTTATTTTTATTGACTATTTTAGCCAAAATCTATGTTGCCAAACAACTTACACCAATCTTCATTTAATTAGTCTTATGGATGGAAAAAAAAAATGATGTTATCCTATCTTTCAAAATTTATTTCGTTTCATGGATTATTCTTATAATTTTTCTTTTTTACTTTCTTTATTCTATTTTTTTTCATTTTTGTTTTTTCAAAGACTTTATTTTTTTCTATTTTTTTTTCTCTTTTAAGTAGGTTTTCTGAGCAAAAACCTATTTTATTATGTTCTTGTTTTCGTTTTTCATTTTTATTTTGTGTTTTCGAAAACAAAATGAGAAGTTTAAAATTACTTCTCGTTTTAATTATAGAATAAAACATTTGGCATATGGGGCTAGTGCTCATTTGGACACATTCATTTTACAACTATTAATTATATACTCTTTTGTAAATAATAAATTATAGTTTTACCAATAGATATCCTGGGTTTTCGTAAAAGTATACTCCTTCCGTCTCAAAATATTAATTCTTTTTGAAAAATTTAACATTTTTTTGATAGTACAAGTATTACACTTCAACAATATTAACTTTTTAAAACTACTCTTTGGTAGTACAATAGTGGTAATTATACATTATGCATAGTAAGGTTAATGAATTTTTTTTACAAAAAAGGTAAAATAGAAAATTCATATTATTTTAGTCATTCATTTTTGAAAATGGATTAATATTTTGAGACAACAAAAAAGGGAATAAAGGATTAATATTTTGGAACGGATGGAGTAATAATTATTGGAATTTGGATCAAAATAGTAAAAATTTGAATTTTAAAGACTAAAATAAGAAAATAAAATTCTCTAAAGATAAAAAAAATAAAAATAAAAAAGAAGAAGAAAAGAAATCATGGTTTAGGAGGTAATGTAATTTACACAATAGATTATTAGACAGGTGCATGCATTTCGTGCCCAAAAAAAAAAAAAATGACCGGTATAAATTATCAAAATAAGATTTATAACGAGCCCAATGGATCAAACTGAACTATTCAATCTAAACTAAAGATAATGGGAAGTTTAGTCAAAACCCTTTCTTTAGACCTTTATTTGGTGAAAATGACAACTCAATTTATTTTTCTTCATAAATCTCCCAAGGAGAAAACACATGATTGAGTAAAATATATATATTTTTTTTTCTTGAACAATATTGCCAGAGTAACATGCTACTGTGAGACATAGTAACATGTTACTGTCAAATAGAATAATTGTCAAACAGAGTAACATATTACTGTTACTATTTACATCAATTTCAACAGTGATAATTTTTTTAAAAAAAAAATTCATAGTAAACATAGATCTTATTTGATAGATCTTGATGAGAGAATTATAAAAATATTAATTTTATTAAAAACTGACATCTACATCAAAAGTTATATTATTTTTAATTTTAATATTTTAACAATAATGATATTTGTTGAACTTTTTTTTAAAAAAAAAAATTATACTTATCCTTAATGCATTAAAATTTTATTATGAGAGGGTTTGACTAAATCCCCTAACTTAATCTCTTTTTTAAATAAAGAATAATAATAGAGATATTCATTTTTATTACATTGTCTATTCCCTATTCACAATGACACCATTATGATGGGTGGACTACACTCTTATTATGAGTAAATAGTAAAAAATACTCCTAATATTTTCATAGTCGAACTTAAAAATAAAAAATAATGTGCCCAAAAAAGTAGTTAATTTACAGAGTTTAAGTAGGCTTACAATAATGTTGTCTCCCCCGCCAATTGCGACCTACTTCTTCCCCAACTTATTACTTCCCCATGTCTATTTGCTGTGGCTCAAAGAGGCAAAAAAAGGTTTTTAGCTTTTTTATTTTATTTTTTGCTTTACAAAGGAAAAGAAAAAGGAAGAAGAAGAAGAAGAGTCATTTGTAACCGACAACATCCACTTTTGCTTCTTGAATAGTAAGGTGGTTAACTTAAATCCATTGCAACAATTTAAAGTGTAACTTCTAGAAGGTTAATAGTTTCAATCTTTTAATGTCTATGAATCTTATTTTTCGTATATTTATTGTGACTTTTCTTTCGCACTTCAAAAATTTATTTGTATTAATTAATTATATGTTGTATCTTGGTCATTATAATTATAATTCATTAAATTTTATTCTAATATATATATTTAAAAACAAAATATTTTAATTGTCAAAACTGTTATTATTTTATTTTTAACATTCAAATTTGACATTTAAATTACTATAATTTTAGGACCAAAATTTTGATCTTATGGCACGATTATTTTTTATTTTTTATAAAATACATTTATTAGTAGTATTTTCAAACTTTTGTCCCTAAAAAGATCTTTTTTTTCTTTATTGTTTTTTACTTTTCCGGATAGGCCATTTTGTGAAAAATTGACCTCTTAATTTTTTTTCAACAAACTTTTGGAAACAAAAAAGTTTAATCTCTAAAACCCTTAATATATTGTAGTGATAACTTGTGTTGTGACATTCTTATATACCTTCATTTGTTCGGAAAACCATTAGATACTCAAAGTATAATGTAACATTGTAATTGGATTATTGTTTACTTAATAAAAAATGAGTCAACATGTCTTACTTGGACAATTTTTCATTATATAATTAGTTCAAAACAATGTTATATGATATTCCAGCTACTAAATTAACTATTCATTCATTCTTGTATCATGAAGGTTTATCCGGTTGTTAAATTCAGAACCCCAAAATTAATTGAAATGCATACAAATTAGCCCGAACATCCAATTTAAAAATTTAGAATGAAAAAAAAAGAAAAAAAAGTTGACTAAGATGGGAGAGTGTCAAATTTGAACTCCATACAAACGTTTGCACGTGATTACGTACAAACTTCAACAAATTTGTGACATTATTTTATATATAGTGTTATCAATCAATAAAATAATATAAATTAAATAAAATAGACATTTCTTATTTTCTATTGATTCATTCATGTAGTACACAATAAAAAAATTTATCACTAATTGATGAAACTGTGTTACACCTAATGGCTTTGTTTGAGAAGTAAGTTGATTTTTTGCTTTTTAAATTTTTTGAATATTTTAGTTTATGGTTAAAAACTTTTGTTTGGATTGGATTTTTTGATTTTTAAATTTTTTGTGAGAGAAAGAATAGAATAATTATAATTTAGATGCGACATTTTATCTTATTAATTTTTTAATTTATTTTATTTTTTTGACTATTTTAAGCTGGTAGTCCCATGCCACAAGGGCAATATTTACTAGTAATTTATTTTTGTATCTGTAACATTTCACAACCAAAAACTAACCTTTCGCCACCTCAATGAAATCAACAACACGCAAATTAAATAAATAAATAAATACTGCAAAACTGGATTCTTGTACAGAATTTCGCTTTTCTTTCCTTTGGTAAGTTACATAAATAAATTCATCTTTTGAGACTTGTTTTCATTGACTCCACCTCAATATAAAACAAAAAAATAAAATAAAAAAAAAACAAAACCAAAAACAAAGAATATATATAGATATATATGGATGTGAAATTAACAATCCCATGCAAGTGGATCCATAGGATTCACATTGCAATACATTCCACAAGGCAAAAGTGCAGACTCCACAAACTCAAAATCAAAGTTAGAACTCTCCATCAATGAAGTACCCATGTTTTGGCCACTGCTTATTGATTCATTCACTTTATCAGCTTCCCCTTCACAACCCTTTTCTTGCTGTGGATGTTGTTGCTCTTGTAGTTGCATTACCATCCCTCCTCTTGTCGGATCGAAGTGTTCTAAATCACTACCCCACATGGAATTCTCATCAATGAACCCGAACCCATATAGATTATTCATCGAAGAAGATGGAACAGTTGTCGTTTCCATTGAAGATCGAGTACCAAATGGTATGGGGCCATCTGTCTCGCTCCCTGGGCAACCCTTTGTCCCGTATTGACGTGATAACATGAGAAAGGTATGAGACAGATGATCCGTGCTATTAGCAAACTCCATCAACGAATGCCCGCTTTGATTTCTTGTTGTCGGAGCGAAACTAGGGCTTTGGTATTCATGCAATGAGATTGGAATATGGTTGATAGAGTTAGTATCAGAAGGTGGCACTAGGGTTACAAGAGGTGTTTGCATATCATTGGTCTGTGAAGTAGTTATGGAGAAAACTGAGGTGTTTTGTTGGTGGTGGGTATGAGGGAGTACTTTGTTTGCTGTTCTGTTGCTTGAAGAGAGGAGATTGTGAGTGTTTGGATCTAAGCCTTGCGCAATGAGCTTTTTCTTGATGCATGAGTTCCAAAAGTTCTTTACTTCATTGTCTGTTCTTCCAGGCAAGTGTTTGGCAATCTGAGCCCATCTGTTGCCTAGGATCCTATGAACATCAATGATGATTCTCTCTTCTTGTTCAGTAAAAGTACCCCTCTTGAGATCTGGCCTCAAGTAATTTATCCACCTTAATCTACAACTCTTTCCACACCTTTGCAAGCCTGCAATTAATATCTCAAGATCAAAACGAAAAAAAAAAAAAAAATTTTGATTTAAAAGCAACGAGGAGAAAATTATCTGGGTAAGTCCAATTCTACTATGAACATAAAATATGTATATGAATGGACAATATCTTATAAAATTTGCTGGTGATATCTGCATCTAAACAATCTTGTCCATTCATATATATTTTGTGATCTATTCTGTAACTAATTTTTACAACTTTTTTCCACACTCTTAAAGACCTGCAATATATCTCAGGATCGACAAAACTCATATTGATTTAAAAGTAAGAAAATCATCATATTTAGTCTCTACTGTTACAAACAAAGAAACTAACCAAGACTTTACATAATTTGTTGGCGAAGCTCACATCTAAACAATCTTGTCTATTCATATGCATTCTGTGATCATAGATATGTTGTGTGATTGACTTTTGCATGTTTAGAGTTATTCGGGTTAGTCCGCCTCCCATTTTCCTTCCAATGCATGGTGTGAAGGCAGCAGAGTTCTTGGAAGGACAATGAAGTGTGTGTACATATACATATAGATAGATAATAAGAGAAGAATTAAAATTGAAATTGTACAAACCTGCTAGTTTAGGAACAGAACTCCAACAGCCATGGCCATGAGTGGTGATATGTCTGATGAGCTTCTCATCTTCCTCAGGAGACCACAGACCTCTCTTAACTTTCTGTTTGCTGCAACAATGGTGGCCCATCTCATGAGTCCTCCACTGCCCACTTGCTTAATACCACAACTCATTGTTTATATATTGTGTCCCTTTTATTTCCTTCTCCAATTAATCATAGGAAAATATTACACCTCTTTTTCTACATACATAAAAGTCTTTCTAAATTTCCAGCTTTGTTATACGTGTGCCATAGATGAAGTGTACTTATTTTATACTATCAGCATAGTTACAAACATTGAGAGAGAGAGAGAGAGAGAGAGAGAGAGAGAGAGATATGTCGGAAATTAACTTGGGGTGTACTCATGAGAGGACCACAGTTCCATTGAGTGTTCTGGCAGCTTCCAACCCTTTGTCTAGGTAAAATTATTAGGTAGTCCCGGGTATCACATGATATTATTTTTGTGATATTTTTGACGAATGAAAAATTATAAAATATATTAGGTGTATCATCTCTTATGAAGACCGATCAATACCGTTTCACTTGTAAAACTTTCAATTATGTTATTGTTTGAATGTACACAAAAACAATAAAACATACTGGTCCAATTAACTTTGTCTTTAACCATTGTTCTCAACTTGATTAACACTCTTCTCTAATCAAAAGAAGAAAAAATATCTCAAATTATAGTCTATTGACATATTATGCACAAAATTAGACTCTTTCAACATCTTTAAGCTATCTTGAAAACACATAAAAATCAACAAATTAAAAAGTATTATATGTTTTTCACAGCTTTAGACCCAAATATCCTAGCAGCAAATAGCCAATGGTCATCTACTACACCATACTCACATGAGCTTATACTTGGTCTAAAAGAGTATTGAATACACCACTACTAGTGGGTAATGCTTAAAAGAGTCTTGAATACACTATTATTTGTGAATAATGCTTAAAAAGAGTCTTGAATACACTAATATCATATGATGTATATGTAATGCATGTGTGCGCTTTTGTATATATTGATGCGATATAAGGCAATTATTAAGGGTTATTTTGGAAAAATGGTTAAAAATTATCTTTCAATTTTTAATCATTTTTGAGTCATATCATCTCTCACAACTTTTACACGCTTTTTTAAAAAAAGTTTAAAAAAATTAAAAAGTCAACTTTTAACTGTCTTTCCAAAACAACATTAAGTTGTCGTTTGGCCAAAAAAAATTTAGTTGACTTTTTAGATTTGAGATTTTTTATTAGCTGGGGATTAAAAAGTTCGTTTGGATTGGCTTTTTTTATTTTTTTGACTTTTGTGAAAGAAAAAGTGCGATAATTATAGTTTGAATGTAACATTTTGTCTTATTGACTGTTTAGCCTATTTTGTCTTTTAGTAGCTAATTTAATTTTGGCAATTAGATTAAAAGTCAGCTTATTAACTTTGGTTTTTTTAAGTTATATCACCTCTCTACTTTTTGTATATTTTTTTTAAAAAAAATAAAGCTAAAAAAAGTCAAAAATATAACTTTTAACCTATTTTTCAAAATAGGCTATAGCCAAACAAAGCATAAGGGTTTGTTTGGGAAGTGCTAAATTAGTATATGTTTTTGGCTTTTTATAAATAAATAAAAAAATTTGTGAAATGTGAGTTGGGGTTGAGGTGATGTGACCCAAATAAGATGATATGTTAAAATAACATGTGCTATTTTTGCACATGCCAAACAACACCTAAAGCTATGTTTGGGAAGTTGGTTTGCAACTAAATAAGCACAAAAAGATAAAATAAACTAAATAAGCCAATAAGATAAAATGTTACATCTAAACCGTAATCATTTCACTTTTTCTCGCATAACCATCACATCTAAACCAAAAAAAAGCATGTTCATCATATAAATACATAGGTGACTCAATCATTAAGCCTATTTGGGGTTTAATTCAAATAGTCATAAGAGACACTTAAGTATCAACAATGTGTCAATACAGAAGTCTGCTGTAGTAATCTAACTCTACTAATCGGCTAACATCTTACAACAAAATAATAATAATAATAAAAAAAATAAATAGAGACACCCTATTTCAAAATGATAAGTTTAATTGCAACTGCTAATTTTGTATATTTTTTCCTTCTACATCATTACTCTAGTTTGTAGTATGTAGGCAATGTAATCATTCATTTACATTTGAGGGAAAGACATATCTGTAGGGTTGGAGATTTGAACAATAACTTGGCCTTTTAGGGGAAGACCTAATGATTTTGCAGACAACCCCACCATATCATTTGTATCCAAATTGAAAACACTACACCTTATGCTCACATATCTCTCACTCCAAATATTCATGAAATCGTTAGTATCTTGTCGGTCGCCCAATATGTGAATTGTTTTTGGTGTATGAAAAATTGAATTCCTCAATGCTAGATCTTGTTAAGCATTATCTAATAAGTGATCGTTTTGTTTTCTTTGAGATTATGATGCACCTTTAACTGTAGTGTACGATAATGATGAAAGATTATGATAAAAGCGATAATAAAGTCCATGATGGAAAGGACTCCTAAAAATAATAAACTATCTCGTTTAGAAAATTAACTATTTTAATAGGTTATTTTAATTTTTGGCTATTTTAATAGATTGAAATTTTTGTATTTAGAAAGATGGTTGAGTTGTTTTGTTCTATAATTGGATGTGATGTTTATAAGAGAAAAAATGAAATGATTATAGATTTTATATGATATTTTATTTTATTAATTATTTTAACTTATTTGATCTTTTTGTAAATTTTGACCTAAAAAATGCTAAAACTCAACTTGCCAAACAGGGCCATATAGTGGCTAAACTCGCTGCTCTCACACATATTCTACAATTAAATATAGCTTCCAAGTTCGTTTTCCGAATTGATATATCATAGATTTCAAGCTTCAATTACACACTAGCTTCTACAGATTTCTAGAGTCTTGAACAAATGGAAATAGAAATTTCACATTAACTTGTATGAATCACACTATGATGAATTTTGACTTTTATGTTGAATTACTATCTTTTTGGAATCAAAATTTTCATCAAAATAAATTTTTTTGGTACTAAATTGTTCTATTTTTTAGTGACAATTTTAAAATTTTATCTCTTTTTTTACTTATACTTTTCAAGATGTCCTTTTAGCGACGACTCTCATGATAGTAAGTATTAATTCCATAATATTTTTGGAACAAAATTTATTTTTAAGAATAAAAAAAAATTAATCTTTAAAATTCTTTATTGGTGATGATTGGTTGAACATTAGTGATTAATTATTATCTTTTTGTTATCAAATTTTTTGTCTCAAAAAATAAACTATTTTGAGATCAAATTATTTTGTCCCTAAAAATCTATTTATTATTGACATTTTCAAAATTTTATCACTAAAAGCCTTATTTTTAATATTTCAGGGCGATCTTTTGGCGACTATCCCCACGACGATAGAAATTAGTCCCTAAATATCTTTTGCAACAAAATTTTCACTTTTAGAGATCAAAAAAATTGGTCTTTAAAACTTTTATATGTTGTAGGGTCAGATGACGGAAATATCATAAAATTAACAAATAATTAAATAAGTTAAAAACACAAGAAATGACTTGTCAAAAAATTCTTAAAATATGTTTGGTTTGATTTTTAAAAATTTATTTTTAATTTTTTTAAAAAAATTAAAAGTTAATTTGGTTAAGAAATAAAAACTAAAAAATAATTATTATTTTTATATAATTTTATCTTTTGAGTGGTTAGAAATAATTTTTACAAATTAAATATATTTTTTCATATTTATTTTTATTAAATTAGTTTTTTTTTTAATTCTGAATTTTTTTTCTAAACAACAAATCAAACATGGTTCCAAAAACTTAATTTTTTTTCCATCTAACATAATTCTTTTGTAAATTTTGTTGATTTATCAAAGGGATTTTAGTAGGGGCAATATCGTCCATCAATTTATATTTTGGTGATATCAGCTAACCATTCTTAACGTTTAGTTAACAGTAGGGGTTAAATTGTTATGCGAATATAAACCTCGGGAGACGGGATGTAATTTCTAAAACCTCAGGGGAGAATCTGTAATTTAGCTAAATTTCAAGAGAGGTGTAGGTAATTTGCCTAAATTATATGAATCACACAATGACGAATTTTGACTTTTATGATGAATTATTATCTTTTTGAAATCAAAATTTTCATCATTAAAATAAATTTTTTGGTACCAAATCATTCTATTTTTTAGTGACATTTTCAAAATTTTATCTCTTTTTTTACTTATGCTTTTCAAGACGCCTTTTTAGCGACGACTCTCACGAAGTATTAGTTCCATAATATTTTTTGAACAAAATTTATTTTTCAGAATAAAAAAATTTATCTTTAAAATTCTTATATATTGTAATGTTATTTATATTTGTTCATTAAAATTAAAAAAATTCATGACCATAAATCAAATTTACATAAATATTATTACCATGCCATTCTATATGATTTTTTCTGTGAAAACAACTATACATGAATGGTGCCACATCTTTACTTTACTTCACTCAACCGTTGCTTGAGAGAGTCAATTTCTTGGTGTCAACGAAGATGGTGATGATTGGTTGTGTCTACTTTCTTGATTTCCACCTTCCCATTTCCTCCTATTCTTTCTTTCTTTCTGTTTAAAAAATAAAACAATTACTACACTACTTTTCATTGAATTTTCTAGGCAACTTTCTTTTCCTTTCTTTTTGTTTCTTTTGGAGGAAATCACGTATAAAAGCAAATTAATAAAGCCTCAAAGGGACACACACATAATTAAAACAAGCCAAATCTTTCTCAAATGTCAATTTGATTTCCCTCCCCCAATCATCACTTTTTGCTTTGTGCAAATTGATATATTTTTTCCTCGTCAACTCGACTATTAAAGCATTTCCTGTGATTGATGTCAAAATTAACTTTTTATAACTTTAATAGTATAAATATTATTTGATGTATTTTCTCACAAAATATCAAATGAAAATGTTATTTATAACCCCATCATGAGATTGGTAGACAACACAAAATTGTCAAAATTTAGCAAGAGCTTTTGCACGCCGTTGAATTTAATTTTTTTTTTAACTGCAAAAATTTAAATTTACAAGCATTAGACAATGCTATTGAATAAATAAGTGAGTTTTTAAATTTTTTTTTCCCAAAAGATTCAAAGACAGTAAAGTTTACATTAATGAATATATATGAGATTTATACCTTTATATCTAATGGTAAATAAGAAAAAAGAAAATATCTATTTCTGTATAATATTTTTCTTTAAAAAATATCACTTGGATTTGATGGATTTCATCCATCATGTGTTACATTTTCTCTTGACTAAATTTTTTTCTTGGGAATGAGTTTTTTTACCAAATATAGATAGATTTCTTTCAATTTGTGTGGTCTAAATTAATGAACATTATTAGATTGTTTTAATTTTTTTTCAAAAGTTGAGGTGGTGGTGTGGTGGGGGGCATATATTATGTTTTGAAAGAAGAAAATGTGTCATGATTATCTCGTGTTTCTAATATATATTATTAATGTTGCCGACGATTTAATCATTATCTCTTTTAATCTCTTTATCATTTTCTATATTTCAAAAGCCAAACAAGCTTGATTATCCCCACTTGTCAAGTTACCTATATGCACTAATAGCTCATTCTTAGCCCTCTATTTCTCTCTTCTCTCTCTCATATATGTTTGTGTCCTATGTTGAGATTACTTGAGTAGCTGCCATATTGAATAGGAGAATTGCAAATAAGTTACAAAATAAATAAATAAAAGAAAATAAAATAAATGTGCAGTTTAAATTTAGAGTTGAGCTGCCCGAATTGGAGGTTCAATCTCCTAGAACTGGATGCTCTTCATTTCGATATTCTTTTGTATATCAATGGTTTAAATTTGTCCACGTACTTACAAATTCAATATTAGATTAAAAATAGTAAATTACAAATACACCTCCCTGAGGTTTGATTAAAATACAAATCGTCCTCTGTGATTCTAGAAATTACATTCCACCTCCTGAGATTTTTAATTTCATAACAAATCGCTCCTTTTATTAATAAATCATAAAGTCAATTAATAGTTTTTAATTATGTGATAAATATGTTTCAATTAATAATTTAGGTAATTTTATCATTGTACAGGAGAGCAATTATGAATTTCTTCTTTTTTTTAGTTAATTCTGTTAGATCAAAAATTTTAACAATAAGGTATTTGTAATTTTTCAAACTACAAGAGGCAATATGTACTTTAAATAAATCTCAGGGGATGTATTTATAATTTACCTGATTAAAAAATATTTTAAAAAATGGATCAAATATTTAATGGGTAAATAAGTAGATAAAATTTGACTATCGATTTACAAAAATGTTGAGGTGACGCACACCCATTGCTCGAACTGTTGCCTAATCCAAATCCAGATTAAAAAGAAATCATTTTCTAAATTTATTCTCGTGTGATACACACTACATCGAATTTAAATTCAAGTCATTTTTTATACTCAAGTTCTTTTCAAATTATTTTCAGTTAGGTAGCATTATCAAAAAGAAAAAAAGAAAAAAATTAAAATGTGTGTATAGATACATATCACATCTGCCCTTCAATTCAATCTGATTTTGACAATTAGTGATCAATTAACTTTCTCTGCGTGCATGCATGTTATTTGTTTCTAATTATATTAATAATAATTAGAGATCAAGTCTTGTGAACATGGGTCATTAAGTATTTCAAGCAAAGATTACAGGTCATCACCCCCAACAAGTAGCAATTTTGTTCATGCTGCACCACTTTCTCACCCCATCTCTCCAAAATTTAGATTAAAAAATAAATAAATAAATAAAATATTTTTTGAGTTAATTATTACCTCTTTCAATTATCACTGAATATCATTTTATCTTCTCAATTTCAAAATCGTAAATTTATATCCCTCAATTATTAAAAATTGTACAAATACTCCCCCTCTTCTGAAGGTGTGAAAATGAAATAATTTTGATAATTGAGAGATTCAAATATACCATTATAAAATTGAGGGATAATTGTCTAAATTTTAGTTAAAAAACAGATGAAAATGATACTTTAATTCAAACGGAAAATTATTATATAAATAAGATATATTTTTTTGAGCCTAACAAGACAACAATAAGCTCTACACCTATGATATGACGTTTGTAAGACCAAGTCCAACTATAAGGATAATTGAATAAATAAATGGTGATTTTCAAACTTGAAGCCTCTACAGAAATTAATGAGGTGAAGTGTGCCTATGGATAACTTAAGTTTATACTTCAAATAAATGAATGTAATATACACATTACTATCATAAATAAGACTACTGCTGTTTAGGTTGACTTAGCATAATTGTATAGTTTTACTACAAACACAGAAGTTGAACACAACAAAATAAAACAAAAAAATTATAAAATTATATACGAATCAATAACATTTTACATGATTTTTTAGTCGGTCTACTTCTAAAAGGTAGTGTCCATCCAAAAACTTTTTGTGTCTGATTTTATAATCTGTTTTTGCTATATAGAACTAGTATGTATTTAAGTAATTTACATAATTGTCCTCAAGCCATTGTCACAAGAAGGAATTCCATTGTGAGAGGCTTCAAATGAAAAAGTTTTATCTAATATCAAAACAAAAATGATATGAACACAAAATCGACTTATTAGAATTAGTGATGTCAAAAATGAATGCTATATTGACTCACAACTTGGCTTCAAATTGTCATATATGAGAAGTGTTATATATCATTTATTTGCAGCAAGAGATTATTGTTTTAAAATCTATATATAAAATCCTCTCCATTTCTTTTACTTACAAGTTTGAATATAGCTTAGTCATATAGTCCATACTTTACCATATAAATTTTAATATGCAGCCAATCAAATTTTGATGCATTGCAGATTTCTTGTGAGTTTTTCAGACTTCTTCTAGTATCCAATTTTTTTATATTTTATTTTATTGTAAGTAGAGGACATGTCTTGTGAAAATTATCATCAAGGATTTCAAGCAAATGAAAAAATAAAATAAAACAAAACTACAGCTCATGACCCCAATTGGTTGCAATGCATTCAATTTCATGGTACAGTTACTTTCTGTCCCTGTTCCTTGAAAGCTAGACTCATAATTTAACTAAACATGAAATATAGAATTTGAAACTTCGTTTTCAAACTGGTTACATAAATTAAGGAAGATATTTTTCACAAGAGTCATATGCTGGGCAAACTATTATACCCCAACAACTTCAAAGGACAAAACAATCTTCTGAAGATACCTTTAATCAATTCTTCAGGCATTAAAATTGTGTTTGAATCATAAATTTAAATAAAAATTTGAAAAGAAAAAAGAAAAAAAGTGTGTAAAATACAGTTATATTTAATTAACATTTTATCCATTTTTTTCTCTTCTTTTCCAAATCCCTACTCAAATCTATGATCCAAACATAACTTAAGGTTGTGTTTGGATTACGAATTTGGATAAGAATTTGAAAAGAAAAAATGTCAACGAAATATAAGTTAGATTTTTTTTTCTTCATTTCACTTTTTCTTTTTAAATTTTTATCTAAATTCATGATTTAAAGCCAACGTAAAGATTGACTCACAAAAGCTACCATAGCTCCTCCTATCTAATCCCTCAGTTTGTAAGGGAGAGACAAGAGGAAGCGTGTATATGAGTCGATTTGGTTAGAGTAAGTACTTAATTAGAATCGAATTAATCATGATTGGTTATAGCATTTTGAACTCAAGATTGAACCAATCTTCCATTGAAACAGAACCGAGCCAACCCAATGTAGCTTGGATTGGTTCAAGTTGAAACATAGTTCTATTTTATTTATCCAAAATAATTGTCACTTTGAATTGGGCTGTATAGGCCCTCTGATGTTAGGATTGGGCTCAATTGGGTTGGCCAGGCCCATTTACATCCCTAATTTTGGTATACTGGGATTTCCAAACAGCCTTTACATATCCCCTCTACAGAACCTTTTATCTTCCCTTATCCACAAACTTCTCTGTTTGGGTGGAAATGAGCATGAGCACATTGCCATTTTCCCTTGGGTCTCACACTCCCACAAAGCTCACTACATCAACAAAGCTCAGTTCACTCATAACCAATCATCCAAACACAACTTCAGAACAAGCTTCTTCAACTGTCAAATTCTCAACCAATCAACACAATGATAACCCAATTGTATTAATCAAAAGAAGAGAAGCAATTGGTGGTATTGGCTTATGTTGTGGCTTTCTTCTTGATGTTCTTTCACAGTCACAGCTTGCATCAGCAGCAGATGGAGCTAGTCTCTGTGAGCTAACGGTGGCTCCGTCGGGGCTTGCATACTGTGATAAAATGGTTGGGACTGGTCCTGAGGCTGTCAAAGGACAATTGATTAAGGTATAATTCAGATTTTCTCTCATTACCACAAATTATGATTTTAAACACAAAAATTTATGTACAAAATCATTTTTTGGAAACAAAATATTTTACTTGCTAAAAGTGTCATCGTATTTTTAGCAACGAAATTAGAAATTCAGTAATGAATTGTTACCTTTTTAGGATCAAAATTTCTGTCAGATAATGCGGCATGAACAATACATAAGCTACAAACAATGTGACATGAACAGTATATATTTAGCTTTTGTGTACATGCACTGCACAGGCACATTATGTTGGGAAATTGGACAATGGGACGGTTTTTGACAGCAGCTACAATCGCGGGAAGCCTCTCACTTTTCGTGTTGGCGTTGGCGAGGTATCTGTATGCTTTCTTACTTATATTATGAACACTTAATAGGAATATAGTATACCGCTTAAATGATCAAAGGATGAGTTTTTTGGAAAGTATTTGATCATGAAGTTAATCAAAAACTTGAAATCACTAATGACTGAAACATTTTGATAGAGAACTTTTGATTACCAAGTGGGAAATTAATAAACTTGTGGATCTACCGGAAGGCAATTTGTCTAATAGAAGAAATAACCCCTCTTGAATCATAGTGTGACATTTCAGATGATTAATTATTGTAGGGTTGTAAGTTTCAAGAAACCAAGATTGATCTTTGAGCACATTAATTCACAGGTTATTAAAGGTTGGGATGCGGGCATTCTAGGCGGCGATGGAGTTCCTCCCATGCTTGCTGGTATTTTAAAAAAATGATTGTGTTTAAATACGATAAAATTGAACATAAATGATAGAAAAATGATACAAACATAGAAATTGGACATAAAATTCACTTAGATAGACAACTTATTTCTAAAAAAACTCATGTCTGTCCATGTGAATTCTATGTTGGGTTTTGTGTTTATAAACTTGCTCAAATTGATTCATTTGGCTTATCCTTAGGAGGAAAACGAACATTAAAGCTTCCTCCAAAACTCGGATATGGCATGAGAGGAGCTGGGTGTAAAGGAGGTGAACAATCCTCAAACTACAATACATCTATTTAAAATCATGATATGCTTAACTCACCCAAATTTTCTTATCTACTGTCAATTCTTCATCAACTATAATTTCCTTCAATCTCTCCTTTTTCTTTTTTTCTTTTTTTCTCTTTTTTTTTTTCCTTTTTTTTTTTCTAATGGAATGTGTTTCATAATGCAGGTTCATGCATAATTCCTCCAAATTCAGTTCTTTTCTTTGATGTGGAGTTCATTGGCAAGGCATGACAAGTTGATTTGTCATTTCTAACCAGAGAGTTTAAAATAATTATTAAGGGAAAAAATATTTGTATTAATTGCTCTGCCTTCTGTTTGTGTTTCAGTAGAGAAGAGCAAAAAATTATTTATTTATTTTTGGATTTTTTGGAGGCCATCATATTGTAGTAAATATGAAACATAAAAGAAAGCTTAATTACACAGACCTCCTTTGAAGTATTTAACAATTATAGGACCTCCACTCTAGTTTCTTAAATTACAATGCCCTCCCGTGTCAACTAGTGCACTAACAAAAGATGTAATTTTACATTTTTGTCCTTGTACTTTTTGCTATATAACCAAACAACCTTATAACTTCAAAACATTTCATCTGACTAATTAACTAAAAATGAAAATGTTATAATTATTGGATCGATTTAATTTTTTTTTTTTTCTTTCTATGAATGATATGATGGAATAAAGAATAACCACACCATAAATTGGTGTGACTCACTTCACTGTAATTTCTCTCCCTAGCAGTATTATAAACCTTCCCGTAAGAATGTTGAACTATCCGTTAGTTGGTTGATAATTTGATTCAAAATTATCAACAGACACAACTCTGTGAAACATGGCAACTGTTATTAAATTATACCTATTGCCAAGAGTCTTCTATTGATATATAAATAGTGATAACAGGTTGTGAATGATATATAGAAAAGAACTACAAAGTTAACTATTTTTCTATCTTCTGGATATTCAACATTCTTGCTTGATAAACACCCTCACGGGTATTCCGATCGATTGCCATTGATAGAACATCTTTCAGTGGTATCAGAGCTAAGTTACCCATTATCGCAAATGTCGAATTTTAGTCCGAAAGAAAGACAAGTTTCCGAAATCTTTTTGTCGAAAATTTAGAAAATAATTGATCAACAATCTTCGGCATTGGTGAATTCTGTTTGTTTATATAATTATCATCAACGTGTCGTATTCCCAGAATACTATCCGAAGAAAATAACTGTTGGTGGCGCTGTTGTTCCGAACCTTGTCGAAAGTGAAGCTGAATTGCACCGTTGGAAGAAATTTTACAAAATATTTTTCGGTTCCAATTGGGTCTCCAAATTTGCTCTCTCTTGTTCTTCATAGAATTTTGATCACAACGGTGTAATTCGTTGTGAAAAACGGAAAAAAAATTGATCCACAAAATTCAACTTACAGTGTTTGGACTCCCACCCCCACCGGAGAAGACGATCTACAGTGCCCAGAAAAAAGAAGAAGAAGACTCTGTTTTGCTATTCAATAGGGTTGGGCTGAATTCAAAAATTAAAAGAAAAGCCCCAAAAATTAGGACCACAGCAAGGAAATCAATTCCTTTGGGCCTGAAAATTAAAAAGAATTTGGATCAGCCCATTTACTTAGGTGCAGCCCACAGACAGGCGCAGCCCAATCCACAGACACAGCCTGCAAAGCACACAGACCAGCCCAGTGTGCCATCCCAGCCAGCCCAGCGAGCCAACCCGCGTGCCAGCCTAGGTCCGCGCCCAGATCCGCTCGTCGACCCAGCGTCCAGCGCCCCGCGCCCGGACCCGCGTCCGTCTGCCTCGCCTGACCCGCGCGTTGACCTGTGCGTTGACCAGCGGTTCACGCCGGTTCGGTCTCAGCTGGTCCAAACCGGTTTAGCACAGTACCCGGACCGGCAGCAGCCTGGTCCACTTGGTTTTTTGGCTCGTTCTCGCTCATTTCAAGGCCGTTTACAGTCATTCAAAAGCCAAAATTTTCAGAATTCTTCTAAGAATTTTTCTGTGGATCGTTGTACTAAATTTTCTGAAAACAAAATTCACAAAGGAGGCTATCCAAGGGTGTTACTAAGGAAAACATTCAAAGGAACATTGTTTAAAAGGCACCATTGTGTTCCTTGGGCTCGTAATTATTATTACAATACTTAGAAGCAAAGTATTGGGTTTACTAGGCCTTTGGGTTTTCATCATTCTACTTACCCAAGGCATCAGTATCGTTCTCTTCCTTCACATCATTTTCATCACAGGAGCTGATTCAACAACTACAAGGCTTTTTCTTATTTTTGTTGTTTTTAATTTTGCTTATTTTTATTTTTTAGTATTGTAATATTCACATTTGAATTTTCTTAGTATCACATTTTATTTTTAATATGGCTATTAAAAATACAATGGATTCTTCGAGAATCGAGATGCTAAATGGAAATAATTTTCGAGCATGGAAACGTCACATATCTTATCTTCTTACACATGAGAAAACATTGCATACTTTATCCACTTCTAAACCAGATGATGATTCAAATTGGTTCCAAAATAAATGGATAGAAGATGATGCAATGGCAAAGGCAACTATGTTACATAATATGAAAGATAACATAATTCCGCTCTTTGAAGAACATGAAACTGCAAGACAACTAATGGAAGCACTAGAAAGTAAGTATGGAGTCCGATCGGATACTCAAATTCAATTGCTCTTGGACAAATATAATAATACTCGTATGAGTGAAAATGATAGTGTCGGTGATCATGATAATCAAATGGAATTAATTGCTAAAGAATTATCCAATGCTGATCACTCTTTGTCGGACAAGATGCAAGTAACTACTATACTTAATAGTCTTCCATTATCTTGGGATCATGTTATCACATCTTTAACCCATAGCGGACGAGAGATTTCAATGGTCACATTGCCTGTACTCTTAGTTTTGGAAGAAGAAAGAATAAAGCGCAGGTGTAAAGAAGGATTGTCTTCTAACTTGTTGATGGCACAATCTTCACCACAACCACAGAATAATACCCACACTCCATTCAACAAGAAAAAGACGGCTTTTTTCAAGAAAAAATGGAAGAAGGGATTTCAGAAAAGATGGAAGAAACCACAAGAATGGCACAAACAACAACATCACAAGCATTAAATTGGTCCATGTTATAAGTGCGGTCAAAAAGGTCATATCAAAGCCAATTGTCCTCAGAAGAAGCAGAACAAGGATAATAACCCTGTTGCGATGACAATTTCTGAAGCATTGGTACTTGAGCCTTCATCAAATTCATGGTGGATTGATTCTGCTGCAACTAGACATATTGTGCAAAATAAAGACATGTTCATGGAGTTTACTAAAAAGAAGGTTGGTGAACACAGAATCTACATGGGCAACAACTCCTATAGTGATGTTTTGGGTATCGGCAATTGTCAATTCTCTATTAAAGGGACTTCTATTGTGCTTCATGATGTGCTTTATGTACCTAATATTCGGCGAAATTTAATTTCAGTTCCGGTTTTAACTCAAAAAGGTTTTGAGGTTAATTTTAGGTTTAACACAGTATTGATTAAGAAAGGGAGTGTATTAGTAAAAGGTGTAAGAATGAATGACATGTACTCTCTTCCTGTTGATAATAAAGTATGTATTTCTGATTATTTGCATGTTTCTACTAGTAATAGTTCTTATTTGTGGCATTTAAGGTTAGGTCACATTAATAAAAATAAAATGTCTCGAATGTTCAAAAGTGGTTTATTGCCTAAAGTATGTTCTGATGATTTTGACATATGTGAACCATGTATCAAAGGTAAAATGACTAGCAAGCCATTTTTTAGCCATTTTTTAAACATTGGAAATCATCGGAATTACTTGAAATAATTCATTCGGACATTTGTGGGCCTTTAAGAACTAAAACTCATCGAAATATGGAATACTTTATTATTTTCACTGATGATTATTCCAGATATGGACACATCTACCTTCTTAAACACAAATCAGAAGCACTTGAAAAGTTTAAGGAATATAAATTAGAGGTAAAAAAACAACTTGGTCGGTCCATTAAACACTTGAATAATGATAGAGGTGGCGAATATGAAGCTATGGATTCTTTCTGCAAAGAGTATAGCATAAAACATTTGTTTACAATGCCATATACACCACAACAAAATGGGGTTGCAGAAAGACGAAATCGTACTCTCATGGAAATGACAAGGTCTATGATGGCTCATGCTGATCTTCTTATTCATTTTTTGGGGGAAGCCTTGTCCACCGCTGTGTATATCTTAAATAGAGTTGAAACAAAAGCCAAACCTCTAACTCCTTATGAATGCTGGCATGGAACTAAACCTAATGTTCAAACTCTCAAAGTTTGGGGATGTAAGGCACATGTACTTATTCCCAAACCTTTAAGGGATAAATTAGGAAGCAAAACTTGGGAATGCAAGTTTATTGGTTATGTCGAAAATGGGAGTGGTTATCGTTTTTACCATCCCGAACGTGGATTAATAGAAAGTAGAGATGCTATTTTTCTTGAATCCATTGCTCTTGCTACTCCTATTGAACAAATTGAATTGCTCTCTGAAGTATCTCAGGATTCTTCTCTTCCTTCTTTGTCACAAAGTCCACATGTTCTTCTCGAACCATCTAATAGTGGGAGCAAACGCACATTACATGACGTTGTTTTACCTGCTTCGAATTCTGAGATAAGTGGGAGTAAGAGAGCAAGACGTCCATCTACGGTTTTGAAAGATCACTATGTTTTTCAAGTTGAAGAACTTAACAACTTAGTAGATGATCCTACTAGTTATAATGAAGCAATGAGTAGCAGTGATGCTCCACAATGGCTTGAGTCAATGAATGAAGAACTTGACTCGATCAAGAAAAATGATGTTTGGGAATTAACCGATCTTCCGAATGGAAAAAAAGCCATTGGTTGCAAATGGGTTCTTAGAAAGAAATTCAAAGTAAATGGAAGTTTGGAGAAATACAAGGCCAGGTTAGTTACCAAGGGATTCACTCAACAACCTGGCATAGACTTCGTAGATACGTATTCTCCTGTTGCAAAATTTGCCTCTATAAGGATTCTAATGGCGGTAGTAGCCAGGATGGATTTGGAATCGCATCAATTAGATGTTAAAACTGCTTTTCTCAATGGAGAATTAAAAGAAGAAATTTATATGATGCAACCTGATGGTTTCCATAACCAAGGCAACGAGGATAAAGTCTACAAGTTGAAGAAATCTCTATATGGACTTAAACAATCTTCGAGACAATGGTACTTGAAATTCCACCAAGCCATTTTAGAAATGAAATGAGCTATGTTGTAAGTCCATTAGATCACTGTGTTTATATCTGGAAAAATGTTGACAAGTTAGCAATATTGTCCTTATACGTGGATGATATATTGTTAGCAGGAAACTGTCCAGATATAATTATAAAAACCAAAATTTTCTTAGCATCTAGATTTGAAATGAAAGA